TTCATTTTCTAGCCCATTTCAAATTACAAAATAGATATTAGTCTTAGGAATTCTAATTACAAAATTAATTAATACCAAGAACGTTATACAATATTCATTCCAAGTAAAAAGCAAGATTTATATGTAATTGCCAGTAATTAAGTTCCCTCGGTAGCGCACGTTATGAGACATAACATAACTAATGAATTTCATTAAATTAGCTTAGCATTCTGTACCACTGTTCAAGAGTATCTTATTTTGTGGCTGAGTCAGCTTCTAACGATTTCCATGCCCCTCCTTATTCAATCGGTTAATTAACTTTATCAGCATATATTGCAAATTACTACTACACTGCTCGAAGCTTCTTTAATGGGCAAACGCATGCCATTAAAAAATTTACATACATATATGTATGTAGAGAATGTGCCTAGAATTTTAAATGTTGCGAATTGGGAGGAGCTTCGTGGATGGTGGCTTTGCATTGCTATTGTTTTATCAATACACGTTTTCCAATCTTTGGATTGGCATGCGAAATTGTATCCATTGTGTGTGCCACCAAATTATATTACTCATTCGCCGTATACCACTTTATGCGGCAGCTGTATAAACAAATCGTCTGACGGAAAATCTATTTACACATGTTCTCTTGTGTTCTCTCGCCCAGATACACAAAATCATTGGTTTTGTGCCAACCATTCTGCAAATCGTCATGCAAACCACTCTGGAGCAGCCAGTGCGGCAAGCGGGTGCAGTCTATCTAAAGAATCTGATCAACAGCAGCTGGTCGGATCACGAGACAAAGCCTGGAGAGCCCATACCATTTTCCATTCACGAACAGGATCGTGCCATGATACGCAGCGCTATTGTGGATGCTATTGTACATGCTCCCGAGCTGATTAGGTAAGATGCAATGACATAATGCAATGTTTCTAAAATTGATAAACATAATCATGATTGTGCTGTGTGCTCTACAGAGTTCAACTGTCTGTCTGTGTGAACCATATCATAAAGAGTGATTTTCCTGGCCGTTGGCCCCAAGTGGTGGACAATATTAGCATATACTTGCAAAATCAAGATGTGAATGGCTGGAATGGCGCCCTGGTCACCATGTACCAGCTGGTCAAGACTTACGAATACAAGCGCTTCGAGGAACGCACACCACTCAACGAAGCCATGAATTTGCTTTTGCCAATGATTTATCAGCTCATGCTGACGTTGCTCAACGATCAGTCGGAACAATCGGTGCTATTGCAAAAACAAATACTCAAGATTTATTATGCACTAACGCAGTACAGTCTGCCGCTTGACCTCATCACTAAAGAGATCTTCTCTCAGTGGATGGAAATTTGTCGCCAGATTGCAGATCGTGCTGTGCCCGACTGCTCGCATTTGGAAGATGATGAGCGCACAGAATTCCCTTACTGGAAGACCAAGAAATGGGCGTTGCACATCATGGTGCGCATGTTTGAGCGGTAATTAATGTGATATTTCGATGAGATTTAAATCTAATTTCAATCATCTAATGTGCAGCTATGGCAGTCCCAGCAATGTCGTTAGTGAAAAGTATCAGAAATTCGCTGAATGGTATCTGCCCACCTTTAGCTCTGGTGTCTTGGAGGTCCTGCTCAAAATCTTGGATCAATACCGCAATCGAGTTTACGTGTCGCCTCGTGTGCTAACGGATGTATTGAACTACCTAAAAATTGCGTAAGTTTGTTAACTTCAATGTTAAATCGCCAAAAGTTATAGAATATTTCTTATTAGTGTGAGCCACGCCTATACCTGGAAGCTGATCAAGCCGCACATGGTGGCTGTTATTCAGGATGTCATATTCCCTATTATGTCATTTACCGACTCTGATCAGGAGTTATGGGAGAGCGATCCATATGAATACATTCGCCTCAAATTTGGTAAGCATCCAAAGAAGTACACTCTTTATATTTAATTAATTCGTCATGTATCCTCTTGTATATAGATATCTTTGAGGACTATGCGACACCTGTACCGGCTGCCCAGTCGTTGCTGCATTCCGTCTGTAAGAAGCGTAAGGGCATTCTGCCTAAAGCGATGAGCACAATAATGCAAATAATTACCTCACCCAATGCGGATAACAAGCAAAAGGATGGCGCACTTCATATGATTGGTACACTGGCGGATGTTTTATTGAAAAAGGCGCTCTATCGTGATCAGGTCGAGTCCATGCTGACCACCTATGTGTTTCCGGAATTCCAGAATCCCGCTGGTCATATGCGTGCTCGTGCCTGTTGGGTTTTGCACTACTTCTGCGATGTGCAAATCAAGAACCCCCAGGTGCTAGCTGAGACAATGCGCCTGACCACCAATGCTTTGCTGACGGATAAAGAGCTTCCCGTTAAGGTGGAAGCTGCCATTGGCCTGCAAATGTTCCTATCATCTCAAGACGAAGCACCAAAATATGTGGAGTCACAAATCAAAGAGATTACCAAGGAGCTGTTGACCATCATACGCGAAACTGAAAACGAAGACTTGACAAATGTCATGCAAAAGATTGTCTGCACATTCACGGAGCAGCTGCTGCCAGTCGCAACTGAAATTTGTCAACATCTAGCCACGACATTTAGTCAAGTGCTAGAATCGGAGGAGGGATCTGATGAGAAGGCCATTACGGCCATGGGTCTGTTGAATACTATAGAAACTCTGCTCAGCGTTATGGAGGAACATCCGGAAGTGCTGCTTAACTTGCATCCGATTGTGATTAACGTCGTAGGTCACATATTCCAGCAAAACATTACCGGTAAAATATGCCTCCCAAATGTGAAGGATGTCTTGATTCTATTCTGAGTATTTCACAGATTTCTATGAGGAAACATTCTCACTTGTGTACGATTTGACATCGAAGTCTATTTCGGCTGAAATGTGGCAAATGCTAGAGCTCATCTATCAAGTATTCAAAAAGGATGGCGTTGATTACTTCATTGACATTATGCCGGCTTTGCATAACTATGTAACCGTTGATACGCCAGCTTTCCTCTCTAATCCGAACCGTCTCCTGGCCATACTGGACATGTGCAAAACTGTAAGCTGATTCGAAGACATTAGTAGTCATGTTTTATATTATTAAAATTGTTTTCCTCTAGATGCTAACTAGCAATCCTGGCGAGGATCCCGAATGTCATGCTGCTAAACTCATGGAGGTCATTATCTTGCAGTGTAAGGGACAAATTGATTCGGTGATACACATGTTTGTGGAGTTAGCTCTGTCGCGTTTGACACGCGAGGTGCAGTCATCCGAGCTGCGTACTATGTGCCTACAGGTGGTCATTGCAGCGCTATATTACAACCCACAGCTACTGCTCTCCATTCTGGACAAAATGTCGCAACCAAACAACGAACCAATTAGCTCGCATTTCATTAAGCAATGGCTGCACGATACAGACTGTTTCCTTGGGTATGTGAACCACTACTACTACTATACGAACTCCTATTATAAACTAAGCAATATATTCGTTTAGAATACACGATCGCAAGCTGTGTGTCTTGGGTCTGTGTACACTCATTTCACTAGGCGATGCCAAGCCTCAAGTGCTTAGCGAAGTGGCGGGTAAGATTATACCATCGCTGATATTGCTGTTCGACGGGCTTAAACGAGCATACGAATCTCGTGCTCAGGAAGAGGAAGAGGAAGAAGAGGAGGAGGATGGTGATGACTGCGAGGGTAAGAACGAAAAAAATAGACTGCAAATCAATTTCATGAAAAACTAATATCAATTGTTGTCTACAGAGGCTCTGTCAAGCGATGAGGATGAAATGGATGAGATGGCTCCCAATTACTTGGACAAATTAGCCGATTTCTCCAAAACGAAAGGCGCCGCTTCTGGTTTTGAGGTGAAGGCCGAAATCAAGGACGATGATGAGGACTCTGATGACGAAGCGGAAGAGTCCGTTGGAGATTTGAATGAAACTGGTCTCGAAACATTCACCACGCCGATTGACGATGAAGAAAACGACAGTGCTATTGATGAATATTGGACGTTCAAGGAAGTTATAACTGGTAAGTCAAAATAAGCTTATATATCTGTGTGATTGATTACTTATTTCTCTTCTGTATTTTTAGCACTTTCCACCCAAGACCAGTCATGGTATTCGCTGCTAACATCGAACCTAACACCCGAACAGGCTAAAGCGCTGCAGGAGGTCGTTGTGACCGCCGACCAACGTAAAGCGGCCAAGGAATCGAAACTAATTGAGAAACAGGGCGGATTCGCCTTCCCTCAGACCACCGTGCCGACATCGTTTAAGTTCGGATCTTAATTGACTATGGGACACCGACTTATTAGTACGCTTTTCTTTTGACTTCATTGTTTCTCATATTCTTTCCATAACGAAAAAAAAAAAGAAAATGAAATAACTAAATAGTGGCTGGCACTTGATATGACGGCTGTTGAGGCAATCTATAGATTCTCGTACATATTTTATGTACACACACTTACACATTTACACGTGTTGCATGCATCGATCGGTTGAGCGATGGATGGGTAGGGTGATCGCTTTATATTTATTGTAGATTTATATTTTAAATTTCTATTTTTGGCAATTCCATGCCAACTAAATTATAGTAACTTAAGTTGGAAGTCTATTGTATATCATTGTATGTAACTAAAAAGAAAACCTATTTAGAAGTCGTCTCATAGAATGAGATCGCGCCCAGCTAAGCATGGATTATAAACACTCCAGCGTAAAGTGGTCAGAGAATGAGAATTCAATGTAGAGCATTTCACTTACATTGTCTTTACACAGATACACACACTTATATAACGTAATAGACGGAGCGATATTTTTGAAAAATAAAAACATTTTTAACGTTTGAATTCAACTTGATTTTCTTGTTTACAAGTATTACTGTTTCCATGGTTTATCTCTAGGCCATGAGCTCTTTTAAATTGAGCCTCTAATTTCAGTGCTGTGAAATGTGATGTCATGTTTATTTGGTATGCACACTATTGTGGAGGCTGACTGATAAATATTCTTATGGATTTGCCATTCACGTGTGAGCGCTGCCTGCATGCATGCCGCATTTGTTTATATTTTGTGAACGTAAACTAAAAAGGCGCTGATATGAAAATTGCTATTGAAGGCTGTGCACATGGCGAACTGGAGCGCATATATGAAACCATTGAAGGCATCGAAAGGGAGCAAAACATTAAAGTCGACCTGCTCTTGTGCTGCGGGGATTTTCAATCTACACGAAATGTTGCGGACTTACAGACAATGGCTGTTCCAAGGAAGTACATGGACATGTGCACCTTCTACAAGTGCGTAGCCAAGCTTGTAATGCGTAACACTTATTTAATCAACTTCCTTGCAGATATTATAGCGGGGAGCTTGTAGCGCCCATTCTGACAATATTTATTGGTGGGAACCACGAAGCGTCCAACTATTTGCAAGAGTTGCCCTATGGAGGCTGGGTAGCGCCTAATATATATTACCTTGGATATGCAGGTGTTGTTAGGGTAAATGGTATTCGCATTGCTGGCATCAGCGGTATATACAAGGGCCACGATTTTTTGCGCGGCCACCACGAATTCCCGCCATACACAGACAAAACCTGTCGGAGCGTCTACCATGTGCGGCAATTGGAGGTGTTTCGCCTGAAACAACTTTCCGGCAAGGTGGACATCTTCATGTCGCATGATTGGCCCCGGGGAATACAGGAGTACGGCAACAAGGCTCAACTGCTACGCTTTAAGCCACATTTTGCGGAAGACATCGAAAGCGGGCAGCTGGGAAGTCGTCCTCTCGAAGAGCTCTTAAAGGCATTGCAGCCTACTTATTGGTTTGCTGCTCATTTACATTGCAAATTCGCTGCGCTGGTTCCCCATGCTAGAAATCATATCAAGAGAAATAATCCCGGTGATGCAAGTAGCAGCAGCAGCAGTAGCGAAAGTGAGGATGAAAATGACGACAACGGTGGCAGCAGCGCAGCGCGAGAGAATGTACCAGCAACACCAGTGCCTGTAACCAAGTTCTTGGCTCTAGATAAATGTCTACCAAGGCGACGCTTCCTACAAGTACTGGACATGCCATCTAACGAGAGTAGTGAAGGCAAATTGTCGCTAGAGTATGATGCCGAATGGCTTTCGATACTGCGTACAACAAATCATTTGATTTCTGTAAAAGATAATAATTACTATTTGCCTGGCAAGAAGGCAGGCGCCATCGAAGAGCGCTGCAATTTCACGCCCACTGACGAAGAACTGGAATACATACGCGCTAAATTCGAAAGCCTTTCGGTGCCCGAGAACTTTTGTCGCACTGTACCGTCATTTGATCCCGATGAGGACTACAATTATAAACAGAAGCACATTGAGCAGGCGAATCCACTGCTGAATCCACAGTCTAATGAATTCTGCTCCATTTTGGGCATCGATGATCCGCTTTGCTTAGCCATGCTGGCTAGTGGAAAGGATTTGCCACAAACTGCCAGCTTGCTGGACAGCTCTGCCGACAACAAAGCAGATCAAGGGAATCTCGAGCAGTCTATAGAGGATGTCCCCACAATAGTCCAGCATGTGGCAACGCCTCCGAAACGTAAACTAAATATGTCACTGCCAGCGCCAGTCGTAGCAGTCGAACCAGACAAAAATGTCATCGAGCTGCCCGATGAAGTCGACGAAGAGCTGGCGATGCCTATTATGGAGGATTCAAAAGTTGAAGAGACTCCAGCCATTCGCACTAGTCCCAATATCAAGAAACTTAAAAGACGAAATCAAAGCATATACCAAGCTGAAGAAGATGATTAACGGACCTCGATCTTGTTGGATTAAGTTTTAATTGTCTAGATTCCTAACCAGTTGAAAGTCGATATTAAAAAAAGAGGCAATTTAATTTAAATAACACAGAAAATGCTTAATCATGCAGATCCTACTGGTATTCAGCATGAGATGTTCATGTTGAATGGAAATAAATTAAGTTTACATTTAAGGATACATTTTGTAAGGATATAATTCACTGAACGTCGGTGACGTTGGCACCATAAACTTCGGCGGCACAAATGAAGCAGCATTTCAGCACAGACTTGGGAGTTGGGGTTAAATCACAATAGTAGCTGGAGGGCGATGGAATGCACTGCAACTGCAGTTCATCGCCATCCGACTTGGGGCGATAGAAGCGGCAAAGGCGTGGACCATATTTCGGCATATCGGCATCGTATGGAGGACTAAGTATATCGAAGAAAGCGGCAATCCCGTTGCCGACTTGGGTAATCTGGTGATAGTTGCGTTTACGTGGCGTTAACAAGGCGCTGGATGTTTCGGCAGTCACCAGGCAGGGCTCCTCAGCGATTACTTTGACCATTGTTGGATTCTTCTCATACTGAACCACCTCATCGGCGGCCAGCTTCTGGGAGTAACTCTGCACATGCAACTTGCCCCAGACGCAGCGCAGCAGGCCGTACATCATGGGATGATCGTGTAGTGGAATTGAATTACTGCCCCGCACAATGAATAAACTCATGGAGAAGCGCTCATCCTCGAAGATGTGCATATAGCTGCATGGTGCACGGGTCACATTCGTGGCATCGTCACGGAATAGCTCCTCCTTGATATGTAGATCACGATAAGTGAGCTCATCAGTCAACTGCTTCAGAAGCTGCAAATTGGCATTAAAGCTGGCAAGATTGGCGCGGTCGAAAGTCTTGAAAGCCTGGCGCAACACGCTTATAAAATGGCTCGTCATTGCCGCAAGAACTGGCGAAAATGTTTCCCTTTACTCGTAATGCACCAGAAATTACTCTCTCTGACGTCAACTGAGTTTCCAATGGCGTTAGTTCGATACCAGCTCTAGATAATTAAGCTGCACAGTAATTGCGGCTAACAAAAATTATAGATAAACAAATCACCAGCTGTTAACCAGTGTTGAGTAGTGCCTTGAAACACTACCAAAATCAAAAAGAAATGGAATATTTTAATTTTTGTTTACGAATTTGATGATTTTCTAACCCACTTATGCTAGAAATGCTAGATTTAAATGCGTAAAAGTTCTATGCAAACTGGGCTCTAATGGTAATATAAAATATTATGAACGACCTTAATTCAACACATTACTTTATTCAAGTCAATAAAATCCTATTGGGTATTTATACATAAACATATGAATTAATAGCCCCTCTCTTTGGATTGCGTGGCATGCGTCAGGATCCACGACTTGTAATCACGTTTCTTCATTGACATTTGCTTGTGGCGCGGATGCGTGGGACAGATGACATAACCGCGCTCCTGACGTACCACGACATAGCAATCCTTGCAGCGCCGCTTTAAGCGACCCTTCACTTTAAATCCTGCCACTTGTTGGATATATGCATTGAAAGGCGCCAGAAAGGAGGATACTAGATTAGTTGTGGGCACCAATTGCTGACCAGTTGAATTGTGAACCGGCGTTGTGGTTGTTGTGGCATTGACTGTGGGCCGCATCAACACATGGAAACCACGTGTGGCGTTGATGCCATTCCATAGCCGTGTGGTATTCTGTAGAAGTTTACTAGTAAACGACATCTGTAAACGGAGTTTTAATTTATATTTCTGCAATAATTACACAAACACGCACCTTCTCTACATTAGAGTTGCCAGAGTATCGAAACTGAACTGCTGTCCGCGTTGCCAACCATTCACACCACTTCCACTATTCGACTTGAAAGAGAATAAACTGAACTGGTTCGCATTAAATTAAACTGGTCTGGTTTAAGAAATAGCAGTTTTATTTTTAATCAAATTCAGTTGGAGTTGTTTATTTTATTTTTGAGAATTGCGTGGAATTGTTTTACTAATTATATTAGTCGATATTGATTACTTCGCCCGCCCTTGTCTCCTCTAGCTTTGTGCGTTTGCATTTGGTGGGGCCAACTTCCTCATCCGAAGAATCTAATATTTCAGTTATGTCCTCAACATCTTCATCATCCAACGTCTTGCTAGGCTTTCGTTTTGTTGCGGTTTTCTGTGGGCAGTCTACCGTAAGTTTGTTTGTTGCAGCCGCAACGGTATCCTCAACGCTCTCCTGCACTTGCTCCTCAACATCATCATCATCCTCAACAACGAGACAATCATCATCGTCATCCTCGACTTCTGTGAGTCGACTTCGCTTTGAGGTTGAGGGACCATCGTCTGTCGCATCGTTACCATTCGCCGCACGCTTACGGGAACTAGGCTCCGCCTCAGGCTCGACAGGTTTCTCATCTTTGGGCTGGAGTTGATTTTTATCGGCAATAACTTCGAATAGGACGTCGTCCCTCTCCGCATCGAAGTGCGAGATGATGATGCTCAGTTCATAGCTCTGGAAGAAGTCATCGCATTTCAAGATAACGCCATCCACGATATTCATATCACTCAGCAGCTTTTGTTCATTGCATTCAGTTTCGCCCTCCTCCGAAGATATGAGAATGGAGCCAGTTGATTCGACTGTCACATCCGGATTGACCATGTTCAAAGTCTTGATGAGCACCTCGTCGCGGAATGCTTTGATTTGGACGCGTTTCGTATCGATGCGCAACGTTATGGCTGGATCACTGGCGCAGACATAACAGTTAGGATTTGGGGCCGGGAAAAAGGCGTCCGGCACCAGAAATTGATTGCGGCCATTGAGGCGGAGTCGAGCATATACAGCCTTGCACTGCTCCCACTTAGCCTGCAGCACGCTGAAAGCACGGAGCACCGAGATGCCTGCAGTTATCGCGTTGGTCGTAGCAATGGCGGGAATAATGTTTCCGGCCATTGACTTAATTTCGAATCTTGACTTGCGCTCAATATCGAAAATGTGAGAACGCACATTAGCACAAGCTGCGACAAAATCCATAGCTGGCTGGTCGTCCTTATCCCACACCAATGTGTCGTTGCCCTCCAGTTTGAGAAAAGCTGCGCTAAGCTCTTTGAGCGCGTTGGCAAAGACATGTGCGCACTCCTCTAGTGTCCAAATCTTGTGTGTCTGACGCGCAAGCTCGGGTCCCTTAGAGCCGGCGCCGTCAATCAATAGTGTGTCCCATTGTACGGGCACTGGCGCCTTGCGCGATTTCCATAGATTCGACATGCGCAACAGATAGTTGATGTCCTCGTTGAAGAACTTGTTGAACAATTTGCCGGCATCGTAGTTGCAGTCCTTGGCCCATTGACGAGTATTGATGCGAACGACGTTGCCATTGGCGGTGGCAGGCTCAGATTCCTTTTCATTTAGCCCTTCAGGAGCATCACCAGCAGAGCCAGTATCTTTAGCTTCAGCTGCAGCTTCTTGTGCCTCCGGATCAGCTGCATCAGGCGAGATGTCCTCATCCTCAACTGACTCACCGAAAAGTTGACTAAACAATTCATTGTTATTAACGAATTAGTTGAAAACAATAAGCAAAACTTACTTGAACAGATGCTTGGCCCAGACAATACAGTGAATGGGCTCGGAGGGCGTGTTTCGTATGGTGCAGCCGGGAAAACTTCGTTGCTTCTCCTTGGGAGTGCATTCGTAGCACTGGGTCAAGCCGCGCTTTATCAACTCCACTTGCCCATTGTAGCCGGAGGTGCCACTCTCGATCAGCGGCACATCTGCATTGAGACACATTCGATTTACGTGGTTTCTGGCCGCGCGATTGTCCAAGGCACTGAGCACCACATCAAACTTCTTGAAGAAATTAACGCCGTAGTCAGTGCTGCAACACAAACAGATAAATGAGATCCCTATGGATGTGAAGGATACTGCATAATACTTACGACGTAACACTATCATGGTAGGCCGTAATGTTTGCATCAGGATTAAAGCTGAGGGCGCTCTCACGTGCTACCCGCGCCTTTGACTTGCCTACATGTTCGCGATGGAAGAGGAATTGGCGGTTCAGATTACTTAAGTCAATCGTATCCAAATCGATCTGTACAATAAAACTCTTAATTAAACGAAAACAATTTAAACTTTAAATTCAATTTACAATTTCAATATCCGTAAATCCACTGAGTACAAGATTTTTGAGCACTTCACATCCAATGCCACCAGCGCCTACGACTAATACTTTTGATTTCTTGACCAATTCTTGCAACGTAGCGGGTAGAACACCATCAATTGCTGCAGCCATTATTTATTTTTTGTTTGATGATTTCTCACTTAATACAATGCAAAATACAATTCGCTAATGACGCCGCCGGTCACACATACACATGTAAATTGACTGAAAACAGTGCTGTACAGCGCGAATTAGTATCGAACGTAAACTGTAATCGAATTTGTAGTCTATCGGTACAGCTGTTGATAAAATATCACATTTCAAACATTTGTATACCCGGTCACACCGCTTTAATTGATATTGTAGTAATAGCTTGTATGTGTGTTGTGTAGAAGCAGAAAACGGACGATTTAAATTTTAAGTTCTTGTTTATGCAGCACTACAACTGCGCGTCAACTGCAATTAAGGAAAAAGCGCTTGGCATTTAAAAGAAATTTGTAGAGCGTGCTGAAGCATAAACATGGCCGAAGTGCGACGTAGAAAGGCAGAAAACGAAGTTGACGAGGCTGCTGCTGCTCTGACTGCCGCAAACAGCGCAGCTGATTCTTCAGATCATGTAAGTTATCCAGGTCAATTCGGATTGAAAATATCTACATTAATCGGTTGATATGGGCATTCAGTAGTTGCATTCCATACTTTGCATAATTCATTGAAGCGCATATAAAAAGAAGCGAATTTTATGTATACCAATACAACAAGATATCTACTATATACACGTATGTTTGTACGTGTGTCTTACATTGTGTGCAGTGTTTTTGTTATTCTCTGACGCACGAGCAGGTGGTAAAAGAGCGCCATACAGAGAGACATCAAGAGAGGGAGAGAGAGAGAGAGAGAGTATGTGTGTATTGAGAAAATGAGAAGGATAGCGGGCGCAAGTGGAGAAAAACCAATAACAAATATACTACATACACAAATCTAAATGTGACATACATACATGGACACACACCCACACACAGACAGAAGTGACAATAACAAAGACCCCGGTGTATTGCAAACAAATCCAATTAAGTGACCATTACGGAAGCGTCCCTAACAACCACCCAACCACCTAGCAACCACCCATCGACCTTAAAGACGTGCTTTGACAATATGATTCCTCTGTTTGTCTCTATGATAATGATAAGACCGCAGGCATAGGCTCCAACTAGCTTTGCAACTTTCTTATCACTCCCGCCAAATTTTCAACAAATTAACAAAACACGCCACTGAAACAACCAACCAGAGCCAAACAAGTACAAACTTGGATAAATAGTCGAAATGTTCCGATTATACTTTGCGCAATACTATATACATAAATTACCCGACGTCTTTGGACTTTGAATTCGAACAGTCTCAATTTTTTTATTTTCTATATATCGCTTTAATGATTGAGTGGCTGTTTGGCTCTGATAAAATGTTTGCAGGTCGATTCAGAGGAGGAGAAAATCCCAGAGGAGAAGTTCGTTGAGGAGCTGGCCAAGAATTTGCCCCAAGGCACTGACAAAACGCCCGAGATCTTGGACTCTGCTCTTAAGGATTTACCCGATCGGTATGTGCATATAAAGATTTATTATGTTTATAAATAATGATATTGCGAGCGAAAGAATGCACGGAATTCCAAAATTATTTCATTATACAGATGTGTGCAATCTGTGCGTAATAACAAAGAAACAAAAATAATCCATTTTTATACCCTGCAAAAAATTAGAATTTATTAAAGGGTATTATGACTTCTGCAACTGTAGGTAGAAGTATCGGTCATCCGCGTAGTTTTCAGTCTTTGATTTAAATTCAATTTTATCATATATAAAAAAAAATTAAGATATGATGAAATATAAATATTATTTATGTCTATTAGTATTGCGGGTAAAAAATAGATAAAGAAATAGACAAAATTATATCTAACATTAAACTCTTAATATATTAATATTTATTTGTATACCCACGTGGCACATTAAATCATACAAAATTCATATGCATTTTGTTTATTTGTTTCCGCTTGCAAATGTTTTCTTTAGTTGGAAGAACTGGGTCATCCGGGGCATTTTCACATGGATTATGATCTGCGGATTTGCATTAATCATCTATGGCGGCCCCCTGGCCTTAATGATTACGGTACGTTAACGAATGCGAAAGGGTGCCCACGCTCACATACTTACAATTAACCACTTGTCGACATTTATAGACGCTGCTCGTGCAGGTGAAGTGCTTTCAGGAGATTATCTCAATTGGCTATCAAGTATATCGCATACATGGCCTGCCCTGGTTTCGCAGTCTCTCCTGGTATTTCTTGCTGACGTCCAACTATTTCTTCTATGGCGAGCATCTAGTTGACTACTTTGGTGTGGTCATCAATCGTGTGGTAAGTGGCTTACACTGTCCTCGACAGCTTTGCTTGGAATTTACCTATTTTTAATGAATTTATTTTGCAGGAATACCTGAAGTTCTTAGTCACCTATCATCGTTTCCTATCGTTTGCCTTGTATATCGTAGGGTTCGTTTGGTTCGTGCTATCGCTGGTCAAGAAATATTATATTAAGCAGTTCAGTCTATTTGCCTGGACGCACGTCTCGCTGCTAATTGTCGTCACCCAAAGCTATCTAATTATACAAAACATATTCGAGGGACTTATTTGGTTCATAGTGCCCGTTTCGATGATTGTTTGCAATGATGTCATGGCTTATGTGTTTGGTTTCTTCTTTGGACGCACACCCCTCATCAAGCTGAGCCCCAAGAAAACCTGGGAGGGCTTTATCGGTGGTGGTTTTGCCACCGTTCTATTTGGCATACTATTCTCTTATATTTTGTGCAATTACCAGTACTTTATCTGCCCCATTCAATACTCGGAGGAACTGGGTCGCATGACAATGTCCTGCGTGCCCAGCTATCTGTTTACGCCACAGGAATACAGCTTGAAATTGGTAAGTAACAAATTCAAGCATGCACAGTATGGTTTCCCCAATTAGTATTGATTTGTGTTTGTGCATTCTCTGCTATTTCAGTTCGGCATTGGCAAATCATTGAATATCTATCCATTCGTATGGCACTCCATCTCGCTGAGTTTGTTCAGCTCTATAATTGGACCGTTTGGCGGCTTCTTTGCTTCTGGCTTTAAGCGTGCATTTAAAATTAAGGTAAATCCATTTGCCCTTGCTTATAATAACTGATTCTGTAGTTGGATCATCATTCTTTATGTTCAGGACTTTGGTGACATGATTCCTGGCCATGGCGGCATTATGGATCGCTTCGACTGTCAGTTTTTGATGGCCACCTTTGTCAACGTTTACATTTCAAGTTTCATTAGAACTCCATCGCCGTCAAAACTCTTGACACAGGTTTGTTTCGTCTTCAAAGCAAGTCCTTATAACTAACTATATTTTAACATGTGCCTTACTTTCAGATTTATAATCTTAAACCGGATCAACAATACCAAATTTATCAGTCATTAAAGGACTCGCTTGGCGACATGCTAAACTAAAAATATTAGACAACAACAACTGTTTGCTTTAGTCGTACGTCTCTTTATATATATATATATGTCTCTATATATATTAATTATAAAAGAAAATCTATATTCATGTATATATGCACATATGTGCGTATACATTGATATTCTTATTTCTGTTTATGAATATTCGCCAAGCGCTAATTGAATGATGTAAAGGGCCCCAAAAAGTGATTCAAATGAATCGAACACTATATGAATAGTTTTAATTTCTTGAGCATAATTTTTTTGTTATGTTTTTAGTTATAGTTTAGAATTTTGTTGTTATTTACGATTTTTTAAGTTATTTCAGTTACAATTACTATTATGAATAATATTATGATAATGGCATTATACAGTGCAATTGCAATCCGATTACCGGTGATTTGTTATAAAGCGATTCCATTAATTTTAATCAAACCATAATTGCGTTATTAGATTGACCTCTTTAAAATATCGAATTAAACACTGCATATGAAAGCCAGCGAAGGCAACTACAACAACAACAGCAACTATTAGAGCTATCCAATGAAATGAATTTAATGTTTACGTCTCCGTGTATGAATTTACAAAATATATAAATATATATATAGATATATGTATATATATATATATATGTATATCTAGTACATCTATGTGTACTTTACTTACTATTAAAATAATTAAGCTCTACGACTCTATGCCGAGAGCCGAGTTTAGTCATGCCAGAGAAGAGGCGCGCCTAGTTTAGATTGTGAAATGTTCTTTAGTAAATATTTGTAACTTAAAACATCATTTTTTGGATGAGCATTTTAGTTTGTTAACTTAACAATATACGTACGATCGAGTATCTAAAGACTTTCAATTTATGTTATATTTATTTCTAGTGCAATAAAAACGATAGTTGAATACTTTAATTTTATTCTTCAGTTATACAACAGGACGCAAATATTTTCAGTTCTTATATGCATTCGAAGCGTTTCTGTGTGCATAAATATATACGTATATGTATAGTTCCTTTCGAGAAAGAGATATCATTTTAAAGATAAATTCCGTTGACTCATCCAGTTCAAATTAGAATCGAGCAACTGTTTTATATATAAGATCAGTCTCTATTGATGTTACAAAACTAAATTAAAATTAATAAAACAAAATAAAACTTAAATTTATTTGGGTTGGAAAAAAAAATTATAACAAAAAATTTCAGGTTTATTCTATGTAAGTTACACATATACATAGTTAAATTCTTTTTTTTTTTTTAATTTTTTTTAATTTTACAACTTTTTAGGGCACTTTGGTAATGCAAATATCATTTGCAATGATCACTTTGAGGTAGACGGTGTATCATCCGCAATTTGTATTGGTTTTATAAGCATCTTACTAATTAGGGATTTCTGCAAATTATCAACATCTTCGCGTTCCAAATCAAAGAAAACGTTTCGTTTTCGGGCATCGTCCAGCAAATGGCGCCACATATTTACAGACTGCCAAAGGGTTGATATTAAAATTTTAATGATATGTTAATTTGTTTTATATATTTATAATGCTTACCTGCAGATCATCAAAATTTCCACAGATAATTAGACATCGAGTCGGTCTAGTGATGGCCACATTAAGACGCTGATAATTAGTGAGAAAGCCAACGCCGCGTGTCCGTGCATTCGATAGGATTATGACATCCCGCTCCTGTCCTTGATACGCGTCCACTGTGTACGGCGTAATCTTCATGTGGCTGGGAATCATCTGGCTAAGTGTATAGCAATGGCTGCTATAAGGGGATATTAGTCCATAATTGAAATGCTTAACGGGCATCAACTTGTCCATCTCGAGGAGCAACTTGGTCACAAATTGTGCCTCTTCATTGTTGCTAATGCTACGACTGCTCGCATCGCTGGTGTCCTTCGTATAGCTTAAATTGATGACGCAGTACGGGATAAATGGTGAGATCAGTTTATGGGTGCATTCGGCGTTCACCAGCTGATTATCATAGAAGTAACTATTGGGCCATTTGCAAATCTCGGGATGCATACGATACTGTTTGCTTAACTTAAATATTTTCGTATGAACAAAGTGATTGCCTCCCGGCTTGTCCAGCTGCTGCGTCACGTTTCGCTGAATGCGATCGAACATGGAATTACCCAGACCAAATTCAATGGCCTTCTGGGACAGTACAGTGGCAGGTAGCTGCTGAGTATCACCCACCAGGACAAGGCCTCTTACACCAAAACGCAATGGCAGAAGGGTCCAAGGTTCGGTGCACTGTGTTGCCTCGTCGATTATGCATACGTCAAAATAGTCTATGAAGTTGGCTAACTTAACACAGCTGGAGAGTGTGGTGCATATTATGTTAGCCCGTTGCAAGGCCATCATGGAATACTCGTGCTCTTCCCGTGGGGTCAGCTGTGGCTTTATTTGCTGCATGACCAGACGTAATTGTTTCTCCTTGCTATTTAGCTGATTTTGTATATAATTCATTTGATTAGGAAGCTTTTTAATATCGGCAATTTCTTTCTCCAGCATCTGTTGATGATTTTTTAGCGCCTCAATATTTTCGGCTGATAGACGACTGCGTTTTTCCGCAAGTTTCTTGTTTAGAAAGGCGTCCAGCGAGACATCCCGCACGGTTGCCTCCATTTTCTCAAAGAAACCAAAGCGTATGAGCTCAAAATGGGAGTGGCTCATGGCCGAGCGAGCTCGCTTTAAATACGCTGTTATATTATCCACTGCCGCGTTGCTGTGAGCACATATAAGAACTTTTCGGTCGAGCGAAATATTGCTGCTACCATACATGCACTGCAGCGTTAGATTTGAGATTACCGCCGATTTGCCGGTGCCGGGTGGACCCTGAATTAGGGTTATACTAGGCGTCGAGTCGTCAATCAAACGACTCCAAGTGCGTTGACAAATATCCATTTGATGATCATTCAATTTCTTAAATCCTTTGTAATCAGCTTGCTGTACTAATTTGTTGTCGTACGACAACACATTCTCGCTGGGATGTAAAATACGATGAAATAGCGGAGACCGGCCCATCAAATAAATTGCATTGAAGGCGCCCATCTCCACGCGTATATTATCCACAACAGGGCGAACAGTTAAAATCGTGCTCGAATTAAGTACATCTAAATTGATTCCCTCTTGCAAAATCTCAAAAGACAAATCGTAGACGTTGCCTGTAAATGTATTTAAGTTATATTATTATTAAACAGGATTATTTTATTTACTTACCAGCAACTCGCTGAACTTGAGAAAGTGATGCGAACGTCTCTTTCAGCTTGTATTCACTACTAATTGTGTACAGATCAAATCTCTTGCCGATACTGTTATTGTCTAAGAAATTAAAGGGAAGCTGTTATGAAATTCAAATGCAAATGGAATAAACTGACTTACATCTAGTGCTTAACACATAGCGAGGTCGGTTACGTGAGTTGGAACTTGAAACGCTTTTTAAATTGATTTCAAATGTCGACCTGGAAATTTTGTAGTCGCGCTCTACGGTGGTCAGCAGCTCCAATTTCATTAATGGTATAAGAATCCTATATTTGAAAGTTGAAATTGAATTAAGTTATTTTATATTACAATGCCAATTGAGTTCTACATACTCTTTGTACTGTTTGTAGCTCTTGAATTCATTCGGAATGGGTATTAGGACCTCAGACTCAGCCACTGCATCGGCGCTGCCCAGCTTAAGCCATTGGTTTGCCCAGCTCAGAATGTTGCCCATTATCAAGTCGCTGAAGTTCTCCAATCTGCCCTTTGCCTGTGACCAAGCGCGCCGCTCCGCGTACGTACTTAACGTTATTTTCTTGGTGTCCTTGAAATTGGCCACTTTGCGATTGGCACCTGGAACCCGGTCGATTATTTTAATTTGCAAGTTGTCGTTGAATCGAACGTGCCGACTAGTTTTCGCACGCTTCTCGCGCTCTTGGCGCAAGTCAAATTCGCGATCCATTTCGGCAAATGTAACACGATTACAGGTCCTTTGATTGCGCGCCAATTCGGCATCTTTACGTACTCTCGGGCGGCTCCGTGGTGTAGGTAGATTCTTAATTAAATCCATAGCACTCAGCTGCTGTGAGAAGGACTCTATAGTAGCCCGTCGCTTGGGTGTCGGTGTTTCAGGCTTTGTCGGGACTTTCTCAAGTCTGGGCTTCTTTGTTGTTGGTGGCTGTATGTCCTTGGTAAGAAAATCACCACGATTGCAATTGCCCAGCGTAGGTACGTTGATTAGTTTTCGTTTACGCGCATCAGCACCTTCCGTGGTCACATCTGGCTTGGGTTTATCGGCTAGTTTTTTTAGCTGTTCACGACGCTTTTCTTTGATTTCTTGGCACTCGCGTGATCTGGCTTGTCGCTTTTGATACCACGTCCTTTTCATCTCTGCCTCGTATTCCGCTGAGCGTTGTCTCTCCAGAATTTGATTTTTGCGCTCATTATACTTGCTTGTTGCTGAAACGCCACGTAGCTTGTCATGACCTTTGGGTAAATTTGGATATTTGCGCTCATTTTCCTTGCTTGTTGCTGAAACGCCACGCAGCTTGCCACGACATTTGGGCAAATGTGGTGCCTCAATTACCGTTGGTCCACGAAAATTTTCAACGTTTCTTGAGGATTCGCTGGGGTAGTCTGTGCAGCTATTTGGTGTTTTGGCTGACGCATAATGTCCTTTTTCATTACTAGGAGCCTCACTTATTTTATCTGCATTTGCTATACTTGATGAAGTCGTGGGGGTTTCAATAAAACAAGATTTGGATCTATTCATCATGCGTGGACTGCATTTTTTTGCGCGTAGTTTAGTCTCTGGTAATTCATTAAGATTCTTTGTAGTTGATGACTTTGGTAAGTCCATGAGAGAGGATTCGGATCTGTTTTCTGAGCGCGATCTGCATTTTGTTTTCGATACTCTGGAATTTGACAATTTTTTGCATGTTTTCTCGTCTTCCTTTTTGTCATTCGTAACTGGGATATGTGAACTTAAAGACGAAGATGTGGAAGCTTCCGCATAACAAGATTTG